CACCCACCTGGCACAGTCCCACAAAGATCCTGCCCATTGCCTGGAAGTCAAACTTATCGTCACAGTTGAAAACTAGCACAAAGCGTCCCAACTGTGTGCCCAGAGCCTTCACCGACTCAGTCTTTCCGGTGCCTGCCGGTCCAAAAGGTGACCCACCCAACCGATTTTTCAGGGCTTGAGTCATGGTCAGGTACATGCGGTCTGTCAGAGGCGTCTGCACTAGCTTGTCTACCACGCCAAGATATTCAAAGCTGTGTGCGTGCATTGCGAGTAGAGGGGTAGATGAGTGCGAGTAAGCGATGTACAGAACTTCAGTCACGCGCCAATAGGAAAGGTACACACACAGTGCATTGATATATGTAAATGAGTTTAGATACAAACAATAGAATGAGTATTATCATATATATGGTAGTTTACATATAAACATTAAACATGTATATTGTTGTATGTATGTTAGTTCATATATAAACATCGAACTTGCATATTATTATATGTATGTTGGTTTAGATATAAACATTCAACATATATTTTATTATAAGTATGATGGTCTAGATATAAACATTAAACACAGACATGCGTATTATGATACATATGATGGTCTAGATATAAACACTTGACATGTGTGTTATTATCTGTATGATGTTCTAAATATAAACATTAAACATGCCTATTTTTATATGCATGTTAGTGAGACATAAACATGTACGCTAGTATCAATCGCGTAACCTGATATACCTACCACACCACCAACCCCCATCACAAACACAACTGGACCATCCCTCCTCACATCCCCATACCCATAGAAGAACGTAGCGTCGGCAATGCTAATTGTGAGCTGTTTCGTTGGCTCCTGTTGTGTGTCGTGGTAGAAGCGCATTTGCTGCAGCCAATCAAATGACGTGATGTCTGCCACCTTGTTATTGGCCAACTCACGCGTCACGTCACGCTTGTGCACCAGCTCTGTAAAAGGAACGCAAACCAGTCACACTCAGTTTGTGACATATATGGGAGATGCATATGAATACACACAAGTGTGTATGCGTATATAATATACATGTGTGTATATGTATGTAATATACGCCTGTGTGTATATGTATGTAATATACATAAGTGTATATATCTATGTAATATACATCAATGTGTATGTGATATAATATACATAGGATATATAGATATGTGTATATAAAAAGCATAGTAAACCCCCTGGATTCTACTGAATAAACAATCTTAGCCGTAAATGACAAACCCCACAGAAGCGTTGCTAACCTGACAACTCACATGCCCTAAACCCTAAATCTTCCTGGGCTCGATGACCATCCACCACTTACCTGTGATGATGTTCTCGATTTTACGGCGGCGTCGTGGTTCCTGTGGCACCAGAATGGTACTAGCCAACCCTTCGAGTTTGGCCTCCAGACTGCTGACGACCTCTTTCAGATCACTGCCCGCCTGTAGACACTGCAGTCCAAAGGTAAATCATATATATATATATATATGTATATATATATAT